GGAAAGTGGGTATAATAACACCTGCTTTTGAGATTATTGTAGGGATAAAAACATGATTCCTTAGAAAAGAGCATCTAAATCATTGCTGCACCGCAGACCCGTCGGCAGCCTGCAGAAGCCTTCTCAGAATGCTGTTTTTAAGTGCATTAAACATAAAATACACAGGATTACGGAGGAAGCCAATTCTATTGAACTGTGGCTGTGCTTTTGTATCAATGCACTAAAAAGCAAGACCTAGCAGTGAGTAACATAAGTACAGTAATTTTGAGGTTGTGATGAGTACGAACAGAATTTCGTTATGTCTGCAGTAGCTGAGATGTGGCCGGGAAGGCAGTGATTTCTCGCAGACACTGTAGCGGTGTATCGCCTACCTCCATAATTGAAGGGAATGCTAAATATCAGGTAGGGCTTAGTGAAAAAAACCTTATAAATGCTTTTCCATCCAAGTTCATGGACTCCTGAATTCTCTCCGTGGGCCCCAGGTTCAAAACCCCTGATATAGAAGGTGCTTGACACCCAGTGGGTAATCTCCAAAAATGAGTCGAGACCTCTCCCTGACCTCCCTGGAGCAGAGGGTCCTCAGGTGGACAGGTAGGACCCATAAGGACTGTGGGGAAGACAACTGTGCAGACCTAGAATGCTGACTGGTGACGTCGGGAAGGGCGAAATGAAAGCTTCCCTGGTCTCTGAGTAAGCCACTGAGGGCTGGTGAGTCAGAAGTGCCAGGGATCTTTGTGGATGACGTAACCTCAGGTAGTGTTGGTGTGTGTGGCAGGTCTGCAGTCTGCTCTGGCTGCTGCTCTTTCAGGAAACCTGGGACAGGTGAGTGCCAGGCGATAGCATGTGGGATGAGGCTGGAGGCATCCTGTGGAGATGGGGAGGAACACCGTTGTGTTGGGAGGCGAGTATGTGGTCTTCAGAATCCAACTGCCAGGGTTCAAATCCCAGCACCGTCACTTACTAACTCTGGCAGGTTAGTTTACCTCCTTGTGCCTTGGTCTCCTCATCTGTAAAATGGGGGTGATGATAGTACTTTCTCATGGATTGTTGTGAGGATTAAGTATTATATTTAAAGCTCCTAGAATAACATCTGGTAGGAGAAAGTACTTAATAACTGAGGCTGAAGTCAGCTTCTACACTGTTATTCTAGGATGTGTTATTCTAGGATGAGGAAGGCTTCCCTTCCTCACAATAGGTTCCTGAGCCCTGTTTCTCTGGCTCCCAGTGATGAATGACATGCAGCTTCTGCCTTCAGGGAGCTCACAGTTTAGAGAGACATAGCACATCATTTCAGTCAACAAGGATCGGCACAGTGGTGTGGTGAGCTTGGAGTGCTGTGCTAGAGTGGGGGTTGGGGAAGGCAGGCTTCCTGCCAGAGGAGCCACCCAAGCAGAGCTTTACTGAAGCACTGGGCGCTAGCCGGGGTGGGAAGGAAGTGGGGGTACGAAGGGAGTTCCGGACAGATTAGGCAGCCTGATGGGAAGCCGATGGTCTGACGCTGCCAGAGTGTAACAGTCCAGGCGGGGCCATGGGGCTGGAGGGAGGCCATGCCGTACAGTGCTGTGTGCCTGGAATTTGTCCTCCTATTAGTGGGTGTCATGGAAGGTTTTGTTTGTTTAACTTTTTATTCACAGGAAGTTGCAAAAATAGCACGGAGTTTCCTACCCGGCTTCCCCAGATGGTAATACATAGTTGCTGTATCTTATCAAAACCAGAAAATTGGCATTGATACATTACTAGACTACAGAGTGTATTCGGTTTTCATCTTTTTTTTTTTTATAAAAAGATTTTTTAAAATCGATTTTTGGAGAGGGAGAGAGAGAGAAACATCGATGTGAGAACTCAACATCATTTGGCTGCGTCCTGCACACCTCTAACAGGGGATCGAGCCTGAAACCTGGGCTTGTGCCCTGACCAGGCATTGAACCAGCGACCCTATGGTGTACGGGACATTGCCCAACAAGCTGAGCCACACCGGCCAGGGCTGCTTCACCTTTTTATTTATTTTTTCATATTTTTAATTAATTAATTAATTGATTGATTGATTCCTTTATTGATTTGAGAGAGAGAGGAAGTGAGAGAGAGAGGAAGTGAGGGGGAGAGAGAGATGGAAACATCAATGAGAGAGAAGATCTATTGGCTGCCTCCTGCACGACCCCCACTGGGGACTGAGCCTGCAATCCAGGCATGTGCCCTCACTGGGAATCAAACCGACATCCTCTTGATCCATGGGTCAATGCTCAACCACTGAGCCAGACTGGCTGGGTTGTTCCACCTTTTTTTTTTCCCTAAAGAAGAGGGCACAAGACTATCCCAAGGCCCCTTTTTATTTTCATTCTTTTGTTTATCATCAGCTAGAGTGGGAGGGAGGGAAGGAGAGAGAAAAACATCGATGTGAGAAAGACACATCGACTGGTTGCCTCTCACATGACCTGACCAAGGCCCGGGACAAACCACAACCAACATACGTACCCTTGACCGGAATCAAACCCATGACTCATCAGTCAACAGGCTGACGCTCTAACCACTGAGCAAAACCGTCCAGGGCTGTTTCACCTTTTTAATAAAACTGGATTCATTTGTGTGTGCACACCCGGAAGGGTTTTGAGCAGGGAGTGACTCTGACATGTACTAGACAGGTATCATTGACCACCAAGTGGCGGCAGATTGCAGGGGCTACTGGATGTTGTTGGCAAGAGATGATGAGGGCCTGAGAGAGAGCCATGGTTGCGGAGATGATGGGAAAAGCTGTGGAGGGGAGAGAGTTCTCGGAGGTAAAAGTGGGAGGAGGTAGAGATTGACTGAACAGGATGGCATTCACAACTATGACTGGAGTTGGGGGTTAATGGAGGACTAACAGGATTAGGGAGAAGCTGCTGATTTAAGTTCAGAATGTATTGAATTAGAAGAGCACCCAGCACAGCTGGGGTGGGCACCAGGGAGGACTTTCTGGACATGGAGGCATCTGAGCTGGGTCTTAAAAGATGAATAGGAGTTGGCTAAGTGTGTGTGTGTGAGAGAGGGCATTCTAGGTAGAGGGCCTGGGATTAGGAAAGGCAAGGAAGTCATAAACAGCCTGGCTGTTGGACATCCAGGTAGCACTGCCGAGAGTGCCAGAACAGGCGAGTGAAATCTGTCCTGCTGGACTCAGCAAGGAGGAGGACCCTGGGATGGAGGGACCCTGTGGTGGCGCCGGAGTGGGGTTGCTGTGAGCTGGGGAGTGAAGTGAGAAGTGAGGATATGGAGACAGTGTAGTCAACTCTTTCTCAAAATATGACCAAGAAAGGAAGGAGAGGTTCTGCAACAGCCAGAGGGGATTCAGGATCAGGGAGGGAATTGTTTGTTTTTTAATATTTTTTTATTGATTTTTGTTGTTGTTAATCCTTGCCGAAGGATATTTTTTCCATTGAATTTTAGAGAGATTGGAAGGGAGGGAAGGGGAGACAGACAGACAGAGAGAAACATCGATGTGAGAGACAAATTGATTAGTTGCCTCCTGAACACGCCCCAACAAGAGCCAGGGATCGAACCTGCAACTCAGCTACGTGCTCTTGACCTGAAATTGAACCTGTGATCCTTTGGTGTACAGGCTGACGCTCTATCCACTGAGCCACACTGGCCAAGGCTGTTGATTTTTTTTTTTTGAGAGAGAGAAGAAGGATGAGGGAGAGAGAGAGAAGAAGGAAGAGGGAGAGAGAGAGAAGAAGGAAGAGGGAGAGAGAGAGAGAGAAACATCAATGAGAAAGAAATATTCATTGGCTGCTTCCTGCATGCCTCTCTGATGGAAATGGAGCCTGCAACCCTGGCATGTGCCCTGACTGGCAATCAAACTGACAACCTCTTGGTGCATGGGACGATGCTCAACCAACCGAGCCACATAGGCTGAATTGTTTTGAGCCTCATGACAGGCTGAGGGGTCCTGGGGCTTGGTCTGATTGCTTAGTGGGTGACAGTAAGGGTGATGATGATGTGTGTGGGTTCGGGTTCTGGAACCAGGCTGTTGGATTTGAATCTTAGTTCCCCCATGTACCAGCTGTGTGACCTTGGGCAAGTCTCTGTAACTTCTCTGTGTCACTGTTTTCTTCTCTGCAAAATGGGAATGATAGCGGTTCCTGTCTCAGGGTTGTGCAGGAGGTAAGGGTTAAGGAAGGTACTACATGTAAAGCGATCATGACAACTCCTGGCACATGGTAACCACTCAGCAACTGTTTATAACCTGATTGTTAATATCTCAGTAGCAGGTTTTCTCATTTACTTATTCAACACTTATTCTTTTTTGTTTCCAATCCTCACCCGAGGACATTTGTTTTCTATTTATCTTTAGATAGAGTGGGAGGGAGGAGAGAGTGGGAGGGAGAGAGAGAAACGTCAACGTGAGAAGGACAAATTGACTGGTTGCCTCCTGCACGACCCCTACCAGGGTCAGGGATGAACCGCAACTGAGGTATGTGCCCTTGACCAGAATCAAACCCGCAACTCAGTGGTCTGTGGGCCAATGTTCTAACCACTGAGCAAAACCAGCCAGGGCCACAGTTATTCTTATTTATAAGAATGACACCTGCCTCACTGTGCTGTTGAAAGAGTCAGTGAGACTCTTGTACCTGTTGCCTGGCCCAGTGTGTGGTAGGTACTACATTGTATCTGTAATCACTAGCATTATTTTGCCTTTCTATGTCTCTCCTCCCCAGACTGAGTTTGATGGTTAAACAAGGTTTTTCCCTTGAATTTAAGGGTGTCCTGTGCAGTACTGAAGCCCAAGCCATGTGTGGAAAAGGGCAGGTGGCCTCCTTGGCCATCGAGGGTACTCTACAAACTCCGCATCCAGTGCAGTGTGGGTGTGGAGGGCAGGGGTTGCATGGCCTTGTTCAGACAGTCTTTGGAGACCCTCAGTGACTCCCCTCTGCACCCGTGAAATGGAATGAGTGAGGGAGAGCACATGGCGGGGGGACAGATGGCCCCTGGCCCCTGCTGACTGACTGATGTACTGTTCTCTCCCCCAGAGACTGATGGAGAGGCAGAGACGGAAGGCGGACATCGAGAAGGGGCTGCAGTTCATTCAGTGAGTGCACTGGGGCACGCTGGTCGGGCGGGTCCTCCGAAGGCGACGCCTGAAGCACACAGGCTCTCTCCAGCTCGCCCCTTGCTCACTGAGCCTTTGCTGTCTGGGTTCGAGTGTGTTGGGGAGTGGGGAGGTAGGGTGTGCTAGGAAGGGGCTGGCATGGCAGGGGCGGATCTGTGAACCCCACACGCACGTGCGCTCCCTGACTCGTTACCCTTCGGTCTTGTCCAGTATACCATTTCACCATTACCAGCCACACATGCTTGCTAATTGCTTGTCTGTGCACATCTTTTAATAAATCAGTGGTTCCCACTTAATGAGCTCATCTTTCAGGCTCTGTGCTGGGCCCTTCACAGCCATCTTCACAACAGCCCAGTAAAGCAGGTGGTCTTATCTCCATTTTGCAGATGAGAGAGCTGAGGTTCAGAGATAAGGACCTTGTTTAGGGACACACAGCTATTAAGTGACAGGATTCAAACCCAGGTCTGGCTGGCCAAAACCACATTTCTTTCCAACATCTACATGCCATGTTTCTTCTTTATACACAAAATATTTTTACTACCTTTTTTATTTTATCTCTGTTAAATAAGTCCTCAGAGGCCTTTTTATTTTTTTAAATTTAGGCATGTTTTATTCTTAATTCTTTTTTCTTTTTATTGATTGTTAGAGGAAGGGAGAAAGAGAGAGATAGAAACATCGATGAGAGAGAACATCGATTGGCCGCCTCCTGCATGCCCCGCACTGGGGATCTGGTCCACAACCTGGGCGTGTGCCTTGACTGGGAATCAAACCAGTGACCTCTTGGTGCATGGGTCAGTGCTCAACCACTGAGCCACACCGGCCGGGCCTCGGAGGCCAATTAATGTGATACAAATGAAGTGTTAGCTTCCAGGTCTCTCACTTGCTCGGGTCCCTTCTGTCGCGCTGGACGGCCCCCTACCAACTCTGTGTTCTTTTCCTTAAACAAGACTCCCCACAAAACTGGGACTTGCATCTACATACCTTCGTACAAACTCCCCAGTTTTGTCATCTCACTCAGGCCTGTGAAGCAGGACCTGCCTCCTCACCAGAAACTGGCCTCTATTCACACATGGTGTCTGCGTTGCTCGCGCAGAGCGTGTGTTCATAGCCACACAGCACTCTCCTTCCTTAGCTTGTGGTGCGGCCGTTCCTGCTCGGGCCTGGCCGGAGAGCTGCGGCCCGCCCCGCTCTCTTCACTGGGGCCAGTCTTCCTCCGCTTGCGGGAGGGCTGTGGTTTTTGGGAAGGTGTTCATTTTATTCAGAGGCCGGTCTGGTGAACAAGGTAAACCTGTAGAATACTGGTTTTAGTAATTCTGGCTTTAGCCCAGCTGGTGTGGCTCAGTGGCTGAGCATCGACCCATGCATCAGGAGGTTGCCAGTTTGATTCCCAGTCAGGGCACGTGCACAGGTTGTGGGCCAATCCCCAGTGGGGGGCATGCAGGAGGCATCCAATCAATGTTCTCATTGATGTTTTTATGTCTCTCCCTCTCCCTTCTGCTCTTTCTAAAAATCAATAAAGAAAATGATAATAATAATAATAATGATGATGCTGATTCTGGCTTTAACTGAAGTCACTGACTTCTTTGGGGTCGGAGCTCCATGTCACCTCCAGACTCCCGTTTCCTGGATGGTCTCCATTACTGTGAAACGGAGCCAGTGCCACGTCCCTCACAGGGTCCTTGTGCCTGCAGTAAATGTTAGCTCTGTGTCCTGTTTCCCTTTCCAAGGGGATGTTGTAAGAAGGCTTAGTAATAGGACAGCCTCCGGAGACCCATATGTTGGCCCCTGAGGGACCACTTTGCAGAATAACACAGTGGGACTTACTCTTTGTAAGATTACTGTCTTTTCACATTCAGACTTCACGTGCTCAGCAAACACATAGTAGGCACGTCTGGGCACAGAGCATTGTGATTTGGACAGGTGGGTTGGCGCTGACTTGTGGAGAGCCTTACACACCAGGATGAGGTGACTTTTAGTATGGGTGTGACCTGTTGAAGAGGAAGCCGGTGCTGGAAGACAGGCTAGAGGTAGAGACCAGTTAGGAGGGGGTGATGGCGGCCTGGGCTGGGGCAGTATGGGGAAGGAGGGATTGGCCCTGGTCTCTGATGTTGGGGAGGCGAGGGGTTGGGAGCCCTGCTGTCACTATCAGGGACACCTCACCCCCTGGGGACCTCCGGCATCTCCTCTCACCACTCTCACTCCCTTGGGCAGCTCTTTTGTGCCCAGGTGTGGGTGACAGCTTCAGGCAAGGGAAGGAGCCCCAGTTCTATACTCTGGTCCTGGCTCTGACACTGACCTGCTGTGTGACCTTGGGCAAGTCACTGTCCCTCTCTAAATGTCTTTTCCTCTGTGACATGAGGGACCAGGAGATGAACTCCCGTTTCCCTTCCAGCTCAGCCGTGCAGCCTGACAGATGTGCCTCTGGTCTTCTGGGCTGACATTTTCTGTCATACTGAGCTGGCAGTTTGGGGCCACAGGAGAGCAGGGGGTGCCTTCTACTTTGTCGAGTCTGGCATGAGGGTTGGACGGGCTCTGAGTATCCCTGGCACTGGCTGGGGTCACGTGTGTTTTGTTGGAAGGGGAGAGAAGGGGCCCTCAGGTGGACTTTTGGCGATGCCTGGGGGCCTGCAGTTGCGGGTTCGGTTTGGCGGAACGCGGTTGTCCCCAGAGGACGGGCTTCTTGGGCAGAAGACAGCTGGCCCGAGCTAGAGCTGGTCTGCTCTCTCCGCATCTGCACCCGGGAAAGCCTGGCTGCCAGGCCCTGGGGCCAGCCCGAGGCCTTCCTCCCATCCGTCCAGGGCAATGGAAGGCCAGCACGGTGATGATTTAGGGAGCGAAAACTGACTGCTGTCCCTCACCCCAATCCATAAAATGACATCTGAGGTCTCAGCTGGCGGAGCCTACTCCAGGCATGGTCTCTGGCCTTGCTCTGGCTCCTGAACCTCCGTGTGGCTCTACCCTTGGGCTCGGGCCGACCTCACGTTCCTCTCCTTTCCCTGCTAGGTCGACACTACCCCTAAAGCAAGAAGAATATGAGGTGAGTGCTGGCTGCTGGGCTGGGGGAAGGCGAAGGCCAGGGGTGTCCAAAAGAAGTGGGGGCTGGGGGCCGGGGCTGGGGCTGGATGGGGAAAGGCCCCTGAGCGACCTCTGTCCCCCACCCCCTGGCAGGCCTTTCTGCTCAAGTTGGTGCAGAACCTGTTCGCCGAGGGCAATGACCTGTTCCGGGAGAAGGACTACAAGCAGGCCCTGGTGCAGTACATGGAGGGGCTGAATGTGGCCGACTACGCCGCCTCCGACCAGGTGGCCCTGCCCCGGGAACTGCTGTGCAAGCTGCATGTCAACAGGGCCGCCTGCTACTTCACCATGGTGAGCCTGGCCCTGCCCTTCCGCCCACCCCACCCCCGTCACCACATCCCCAGGTGCCCAGCGAGCCAGGCCCAAGAGCCCGGGGAGCCTCTGCGAGGCCCCTCCTCCACAGCCTGGTGTCTGAGTCTCAGCATCCACTCCTGGGCTCTCAGCCGCTGCCCGGCACATTCACCTGGAGAGCTTTTAGTACTTACACGCAAGACAAAGTATAAAAAATGATACTGGTGCCCAAATGGTCGGGTAGCTCAGTTGGTTAGTGCATCATTCCAATATGCCAGGGTTGTGGGTTCAATCCCCCGTCAGGGCACATACGAGAATCAACCAATGAATGCACAAATAAGTGGAACAACAAATCGATGTTTCTCTCTCTCCCTCCCTTTCTCTCTCTCTCTAAAATCAATCAATAAAAATGTTTCAGATGGAAAAAACATGTTTTAAGTATGGTGCTGGTGCCCAAGCCCTTCCCCAGGGCTGTAGAATGTCGGGGTGGCCAGGGCATTGGCGGGAGTCTGGGGGGTCAGGGCTGAGAATGGTCTTCTGATCGCACTGCCTGTCTAAACCTCTGGCCTCTCCAGCTCCTTCCTCCTGGGCTCCCCCCCTCCCGTCACACCCCCACTTCTTGCTCCACACTCCCAGGCCCCTCTCCTCCTCCTCGGAGCTCCAGCCTCCTCCTTGTCCTTGCCCTGCGCACTCACTGACCCAGTCACTCCCCAGTTCCTGTGGGAGGCTGTGTTGTGGGCTCCGCAGAGGCCCCAGTGGCACCTCTGCAAGTCACAGTGGACTCTTCTGGATAAATAGGTCTACCAGGTGCCTGCTCACTCGCTTCTGTATGCTGCCTGCCTTCAGGAGTTCATTTCCTCTCACAGGTGCTTTTGTTATTCTTAGTCCACAGTGTTCTGAACCTAAGGCAGATAGGGAATAGGTGAGTGACCAGGCTCATCACTGTAGAATGTGAAGGCCCCTCCCCTCCAGTGTCCTGCAGTGTCCACTGGCAGCCCCTGCAGCTACACACACGATGCCCTTGACCAGAGTGACACCAGAGCTGTTCCCTGGAGCTCGAGCCTCCTCCATCTCTGCAGGGAAGGGAGGCTGTTCTCCAGTTATGGGGGCACGAAAGGTCTGGGGGAGGGAGGTAACGGGTTGACGCAGACACCTGCTCCTCTCTGGCAGGGCCTGTATGAGAAGGCGCTGGAGGACAGCGAGAAGGCGCTGGGCCTGGACAGTGAGAACATCCGGGCGCTGTTCCGCAAGGCGCGCGCCCTCAACGAGCTGGGACGCCACAAGGAGGCCTATGAGTGCAGCAGCCGCTGCTCACTCGCCCTGCCCCACGTGAGTGCAGCTCTGTGTCCGTGCCAGGGGCCCGGCTTGGAGGCCGGGGCCCGCCCTCTGTGCTGGCCTTCACTTGGGCCAACCCACCCATCTTTCTGAGCCTCGGTTTCTGTTATTAACTCTGAGGTCTGATTGTGTGCGGGGCATTGCTAAAGATATATTGTATTAACTCACTTGCAACAAACAACCCTTTGAGGTGGATACAATTAGCCCATTTTAAAGATGAAGATAGAGAAAATAATTTTCCAACATTACTGCTAGGGGGCGGCAGAGCTAAGATTTGAACCCAGGCATTCCGAGTATAGAATCGGTGCTCCTAACCTGTGAGACCCTCTGAGTACAGAGCTGCAATGAGACCAAAAGGGGTACCACAGGTGTGGGGTCCTGGTGTCCAGGCTGTTATTAGGTGGAGAAAGGACGACAGGAAATGACCAATAGAAAGCCTTGTTTGCCCCAGCCCATGCACAGCTGGACACATGTACCCTCTCCCCATTTATTCATCCATTTAAATATTTACTGAGTGCGTACACAGTGCCCAGAGCTGTGCCTTTCGGGGACCCACAGTCTACTAGGAAACAATGGAAACATCCCTGGGGTCTAGGCCTGGCTGCACCATTGATCCCTGGCATGACCTTAGACCAAGCACGTCCCTCTTCATATCAGCTCCATGTTTTTAAAGTGTCCATCTTAACTTTGTCCCTGAAATGATGGGTGTGAGAGGGCTTGGGCTAAGTAAGTGCTTCCTGGGAAGGACCAAGAGGACTCAGGAGTGGTCAGGATCCTGGAGGAGTGGGCCTGGAAGAAGCCAGAAGGATTTGGTGAGCAGAGAGAAGTCATGTGCGTGATGGTCAAGGATGCCGGTGCCAGATTGCTGGCCTGGATTTGGGTCCTAATCTTGGGTCTGCCAGCTACTCGCTATGTGACCTTAGACACGTGGCTTAGCCTCTCTGAGTCCTGGTTAGCACCCCCGTAGCATGGGGGTGATGGCATACCATGCATCATAGGGCTGTGCTGAGAATGGGATCAGAAAATCATACGAGACATTCGGCACAATAGCCAGAAATAGTACCTGTTCAGAAAACATTCACTGTTATTCCACTGTTTGTTTATTCTTGCTTCCCCAGTTCAGTTTAGTTCACAATGGAACCTTTCTGACAGTTGCCCCTAATCTATACAGCATTTTCCAGCATTCACAGCAGGTCCGCGCCCAGCTGTCGTGGCTGCCCCCTCCTGGGAGGGCAGGTGGCTTTTACCCCACCGTCCAGCCCAGTGAGGGCTGCTAACTCACCTGAGGAAGTACCCAGATGAGGGCTTCGGACTCTGAGTTGGGGAATTCCCCATTTTCCAGTCTTTGTGGGCAAATCCTAATTGAACCTTGCTTTGTGCTGGACAACAGGACCAGAGGTAACCCAGAGCCTGGCTCCTGGCCCTTATCAGTGAGGTGGCAGGTGGGCAAGTGCACCAGATGTCACAGCATCCCCATTGCTCCTTCGTTGCTCAGACCACAGTCACCATTTCTTTGTTTACTGATTGGTCTTCCCCATTAGATGGGAACCTCCATGAGGCCTGGGCCCTGCCTGCCCTGTGGCTGGTGTTCCTGCCCCCCAGCTTGTGCACATGGTGCACGTACAGACTTGGAGGGAGGGAGGAGCACTGGGTGCTGTTACTGAGCACTGACCATGGGCCAGGCCGCTCTAAATGTCACGCGCCCTTGCTGCTCTGGGCCTGAGTATGATCCGTGACTCGCAAAGAGTTCCAAGACATTGTTTGGTAAAAGAAGTAAGTTGTAGAACAGTTGGTATAATATGACCCCACTTATGTAAAAACAAAAAAAGAGAGGGAGAGAGAGAATTCTACAGAGCAAAACTAAGCATTCTTTATAGGTCCATATGCTTGTGTTTAAATTCCTGGGAAAGATCTGTAGGGAACACGTGAGACCGACAAGCCGTGCTCCCTCGGGGGAGGAGCCTCGGGGGAGGAGCCCCGGGGGAGGGTGGGGTGATCCAGGGGAGCCCTTGCCCTCTGTCACATTTCAGCCCTGTCATATACTCTTGCTGAATTATAAAAATAAAAAAAGGTAATATTAAAATAAAAGTTATTCCTTTTTTCTGCCCATAATAAAAGGAAAAAACAGAAGCAACTGTTTCTGGTCCCAGCCCCACCATGCTCTAGCTGTGTGACTCGGGCAGCCGGTGGCCCCTCCCAGGGGCCTGCTTCCTTGTTCATACACGGGGTGACAGTGGCCCCCCCTTGCAGGGATGCACAGGGTGTCCCAGCACAGCTCCGTGAGCCAGGCAGACACCTGCTCCACCTGTGTCTTGTCTTCCCAGGATGAGAGTGTAACTCAGCTTGGTCAGGAGCTGGCTCAGAAGCTTGGTCTGCGAGTTCGGAAGGCGTATAAGAGGCCCCAGGTAGGTGGGCTCTGGGTGCTGCGGGGGTCAGCGGGGTGGAGGTGGGGAGACCTGAGGAGGGAAAGCAGGCGCCGTGGGGCCAGAGCCAGGCAGAGCCAGGCAGGACAGAGGGAGTGACAGCAGGGAATCTTCCCTCTCTGGCTGAAAGCCCTGGAACGACTTTCAGAACCTTTAGGGAAAGGAAAGAACAGCCAAAGCCTCCAGCTCACCTTAGATACCAGCTGGTAAAACCTGCTCCCTCCCCTGCCCTGGACGACTCCAACACCCTGGAGGTGGCCTGAGTTGACAGTGGTGTCCTTCAGCCTTATGTCCTCAAATAACCTGTATGGCGCACATGTGAAATGTTGGTATCTGTTCGGTTCATTCAAATCCATGTTTGTTCACTTGGCACCTACTGTGGGCCAGGAAGCTGCACGTAGAAAAGGTATGGCCCTTGAGTCTGCTGTGACCTTGAGCAGGTTCAGTTAGTTCTCTCTCCCCATTTTCTGCACCTGGAACATGGGATAATATGCCCACCTCAGAAGGTATGGGAGGATCAAAATGAGAGAGTGATATGGTGCCTGGTACAGTGCCTGGCACACAGTAGGAGAGAGTGCTCGGAAGTCCTCTATTCCGGTCACGGTTGCAGGAAGAAGACACGCTAATAGGCTCCAGAGAGTGCAGGTGACTCCCGGCAGGCCCGGGGGCAGGGAGCCTTGGAAGGCACCACAGACCCAGACCACCTGTGTTGGGCCCCTTTGCTGCCCTGATGGGACCCTGAGCATCTTTCCAGGATCTTCATCTCTTCCCACCTCTCTTCAATCTCTGACAGGAATTGGAAACCTTTTCTCTGCTCAGTAACGGCACTGCAGCTGGTGTGGCAGATCAGGTAGGAGGGGCCAGGGCCCCACACTTCCCTCCCTACCTCTAGGGGCAACCTATTATGGTTCATTCATCATGAGAGCTTTGAATCTACTCTCTGGGGTATAAGTGACCTCAGGCAGAGGGTGCAGGGGCATCAGACCGAGAGGTTGGGCTCAATCTATTCTTGTCCCCACTGCTATGAGCCAGGCACCTGCCGTTGGAGAAGGAGTAACTGACAGCCTGGGCCTGAGTCAGGCTCATGAGGACAGCTCTAGGGTGCACAGCTCTCCACCTCCCAAGAGGTGCCTCCTGTGACCACAGGGGCAAAGTGTGGGGACAGCTGTGGCTGCTGGTGATAGGAGTGGTCACTGCAGGGGAACCATCAGGGATAGCCTATGGCTCTTGAGAAAGGAAACAATGGCAGCAGAGGGAGGGGGATCAGGAAGCAGGAAGAAAGGCGACTGGGACCAGAGCACACAGGCCTTGTACTGTGGCTGTTGGCAAGGCTCAGCGCACGTATGACTCCCCCACCCCTCACCATACAGGAACTGCTTGGAGGACTCTGAGCTTTCTGGAAGGTGAGGAACAGGTTAGAAGAGTACTAATGGAGCCCATGTCCTGCCTCCTCATTATATGTAAGGAGAGATTGAGGAACAGAGTGGGCAGGGGACTTGGCCAGTGTCACACAGCAAGGCAGCAGCAGGCCTTCCTCCAGGGTGCTACAGTACTTTCATTCATTCACTCAACACATCCCAGGGAACCCCTTCTAAGCCCTGGGCTGGCTGCTGTGCCCGGGCTCAGTTAGGCATGTCTTTGCCCTTGGGGACCTCTCAGGCTGCAGGGGAGGCACTATGATCTCATCTGGTTTGTAACCAGAAATTATTAGCCTCACACACACTGAGTGTTCAAAAAGTAAATAAAATAAATGAATGTTAGTCTGTTCGGGCTGCTATAACAAAATGCCATAGACTGGGTAACTTTTTTTTATTGTTGAAAGTATTACAGATGTTCCCCTTTTTCCCCCATTGACTCCCCTCCTTCGCGCTTTCATCCTCCTCCTGCCTCCCCAGCCTGGTGTCCCTGTCGATTGGTTGTGCATATATGCATATAAGTTTCTGTTTTTTGTTTTGGTATTTTGTTCAGATAGAGTGGGAGAGAGAGAGAGAGAGAGAGAGAGAGAGAGAGAGAGAGAGAAAGAGAGAAACATCGACATGAAAGGGACACATCGAGTGGTTGCCACCTTCACGACCCAACCAGGGCTGGGGACAAACTGCAACTGAGGTACGTGCCCTTAGCGGGAACCGAACCCGCGTCTCTCTGGACCGCAGGCCGACGCTTTAACCGCTGAACCAAACTGGCCAGGGTGCATATAAGTTTTTTGGTTTCTCTCTTCCCTCCCCTCCCACCCCCATCCCTCTGAGGTCCGTCAGTCTGTTCCCTACTTCCATGATTTTGGATCTCTTTTGGTTGACAGCTTATTTTGTTCATTGTGTTTCACAAATAAGTGAGATCATGTGGGACTTTAGACTGGGTTATTTATAAACAATAATTATCTCTCATTCTGGAGACCAGGATGTGCAAGATCAAGGCACTGGCAGATTTGGTGTCTGGTGAGAACCCCCTTCTGGGTTTACAGATGACACCTTCTAGTTATAACCTCAGAGGGCAGAGGGGGCAAGGGGATCTCTGTGGGGTCTCCAATCCCATTCCTGAGGACTCCACTCCCCTAATGATCTAATCACCTCCCAAAAGCCTCAGCCAATACCATCACTTTGGGGGTTAGAATTTCAGCATATGACTGGGGGGAGAAGGGGTGGTAAACATTCAGACCATAGCAGCAAATGAATGAATGATGAAGGAAGAGTCCCAAATAATTTCACAACAGTGCTTTGAGGGAGGTACTATTTCTGCCCTCTGACAAAGGAAACAGGCACAGAGAAATTAGGTGACCTAGGTTTATCTAGTATGTGGCAGGCACTTTGGTGGGGGCTGGGTACATGGTGAACCAAATAAGTGTGGTCCCTGCCCTCAGAGAGCTCCCAGTCCAGAGCAGGTGAACACTAGCTGATCGTTTCTGGTTACAAACCATGATGAGCTATAGAAGCAGAGCACGGGGAGCCGTGGGCCGTTGGAAACGGAAGGCCTGAGTCAGATTGGGCATTAATGACCTTTATTTATTTTTATTTATTTACTTATTTTATCCTCACCCGAGGACTTTTTTTTTTTCTTTTGCATTTATCTTGAGTTAGAGTGGAGGGAGAGAGGAAGAGAGCGAGAGAAACATTGACATGACAGAGACACATCGAGTGGTTGCCACCCACATGACCCCAGCCAGGGCCGGGGACAAACTGCCACTGAGATACATGTCCTTAGCAGGAACCGAACCTGGGCCTTGCTGGTCCATGGGCTGACATTCTAACTGCTGAGCCAAACCAGCCAGGGCATGACCTTTAAACGGAGACCTGAAGCCCGGCCAGTGTGGTTCAATGGTTGAGTGTCGACCTATGCACCAAGAGGTTGCTGGTTCAATTCCCAGTCAGGGCACATTCCCAGGTTGTGGGCCCAATCCCCAGTGGGGGGCATGCAGGAGGTGGCCAATTGATGTTCTCTCATCTATGTTTCTATCTCCCTATCCCTTCCCCTCTCTCTAAAATCAATAAAGGAAATATACATATACATATATATGTAAATAAATAAACTGAGACCTGAACGTTAAGGAGTAGGTGGGACAGGATATATGGGTAAAATAACATTCCAGATAGAGGGGCAGGCATGTGCAAAGGCCCTGAGTCCGGGAGGGGTTTAGAATGTGGTAAGGACCAAGTAGAGGGAGGCAGGGCCCCAGTGGGGCTGAAACAGTAGATGGAAGCTAGGCTAGCAAGTGCCTGGGGAGGAGCTGTGTCATCATCATAAGAATGTTGGCAAAGCATTGATTCTGTTCATTTAGAAGATAATTATTGAGTGCTCTGTGCCTAGTATATAATTGATCTAGGCACTGGGGATCAAGCAGAGAGAGAAACAGCCAGAGCCCACCCTTCTAGAACTTACAGTTTAATTGTGAGAGTTAAACAAAAGATAAACAAAGAGTAATCAGTGTTTTGGAGAAGTGGGCTGAGGAGTGCCAAGGCTATTGGGAGGGGCTGCACATTTAAACAGTGAGCAGGGATGGCCTCGGTGAGAAGGAGGCAGTTGAGCAAAGACCTAGAGGAGATGAGGGATGAACCTTGAGGAGGTTTGGGAGACCGGGCAGAGGGAACAGCCAGTGCAAAGGTCCTGTGGCTGGTGTGCCCAGTGTGAGAACAGCCAGAAGGCCAGGGTGGCTGGAGGGGACTGTGTAAGGCTCCTCTTTCATCCCACCAGAGGTGCTAGAGAGGCAGGGAGTTATTCAGAAAGATCATATCCAGAGTTCCTGATCTCAGGGGCTACCTCATTCCTGGAGCCCCAGAGACTGGAGCCCTTTTGTTTTCTGTGGATGATAGCATGACTGCATTAGAGGGTAACTCTGAGGTGACCCTGGCTGGGTATGTTCCCGTTTCTTCCTTGTCTTCCTACAGTGCCTGCCCTGGTTCAGGCCACATCCCACTTTTCCAGGTCATGCTGGCCTCCTTTTCGTGTACCTCCAACACCATCCCAACTCCTCTTCCTGTTCCCCCAGTACTTATGCAAGGTGAACTCTAACAGCTGGGTGGTCTCTCCTTGCTTAGAAACCCTTAGTGGTTATTAAAGTATCTGTTTAAAAGTAATGTGTTTAATCAGCATCTGGATACTTTAGCCTGACATTCAGGCTCTGCCACTGTCTGGTTCCAGCCTCCCTCTCTCCCCTCCCCTCCTATGCAGTGGGTGTGTGTGTGTGTGTGTGTGTGTGTGTGTGTGTGTGTCCTCATCTTTCCAAGAAGCTCATTCGAAAGCAGGGACTGTGGGCTCCTCTGTTCTGTGCCTCCTTGTGGCACTACTTTGGAGTCAGACGGCCTGTTCTCTGCTCATTGGTGGCATGACTATAAAATGGGTGCCCTCTATAAAATGGAGACACTGTGCTCAGTTCCCAGGGTGGTTGCAGGATGAAACGAGAGCAGGCTTGGGAAGCCAGCTCACGGTGCCCGAGGCAGCGTGGGTGCTCACTCCACATCCAGTCTAGCCCAGCTCACTGGGGCCAGGGATGGGGGCTTGCCTCCAGGGACCTCACAGGCAGTGAGCAAGTGTGCGATATAACACCTGTTCGTAGCAAGCAGAATTGCACTGGGAGGGCATAGCTGATGCTCAAAAGATATTTGTTGAATGACTGAATGGCCATGGCCAAAGGGCCACAGCAGATGTGGGTGGAATGCTGGCTACAAGAGGGCCAGCCCTTTGTGTCCACTGAGTCTGTAGCCAGGAGACCACAAATGGTGCCATGCAGGGCATTGGGTGCCCTACCCCCTGCCAAACCATTCACCCATCTGTACAACCTTGCTGGGGCCCCACCACATGCACAAAGGCCGGGGCCAGTCACAGGGAGGGGGATCTGTGAGAAGTCCAAGCAGAGTGGACTCCACAATGAAGACCAGGTCAGATCCTGCTTCAGTGTGCCAGGATGGTGCTGCACACACACAGCCAGACACACACACATACACAGCCAGATACACACACACACACCCCCTAAATCCACATGCCACAGATACACACACAGTCAGATACATATACATAGCCAGATCCACACACACACACACCCCTAAATCCGCATACCACAGATACACACACACACCCCTAAATCCGCATACCACAGATACACACACACACACACACACACACACACAGAGCCAGATCCCCTGACCTTCTGGAAGCTAAACACATGCACTGAGTATGAGTCTGGGCTGCTGGGATCTCTGCAGGACTCTCAAGCCTAGGGGTCCTATTCATTCAGCCAGTCAGTCATTCCACGTGCGTGCCTGGTAGTGCAGACTGCACGAGCTGTGTCCACGGAGCTTGTTAGGACCTGGGAGTCGGGCAGGCCCTGCAGGCGTGGACTCTGTGCCAGAGCTGCCTCTTGGCAGCATGGAGAGCAAGGTGCAAGGAGGGCTCTGAGTTCTCCGAACAGACCAGGCCCGAGGCAGCCATGGTTTGAGAGGCCTTCCCCGAGTCAGGTTGGCAGGATTCAGGCAGGTGGAGGGGAGGGAACAGCAGGGGAGGAGGCCAAGCAAAGGCGGAGAGGCAGAGGTGGAACATGCGTGCCCAGATCACAAGACCAGTTCTCCCCATGGGGTTCAGAAGAATCTGGGCTCTGCAGCCTGGCATGTTTTGGTTCAGATCGTGAGTGTGCCCCTTATCTGAGGTGACCCCTCCACCTCTCAGAGCGGTGCTGCTACCAGCCGTCTGCGGGGCCTGTAGGTGGTTATGCGGGGAAGCTCCCAGCACAGCTCCTGCAGGGAGGAGGCGCTCCGCAGACCTCTGTTGCTAAATGAGTGTCACTAGTGGGCAGAGGGCAGGGAGAGACGAACAGAGAGGTGGGTGGGAGCCAGGTGGTGGGCAGGGGACTGAGAAGGTGTCTTGTGGGACCTGGGAGCCATGACAGCACTGAGGAAGAAGCACAACTGTCCCTAGAGATGTTCATCCGGCCACCTTTTTCTCCTCCAATATGTTCTATACTGTCTGTGAGCGTAGCAGCCCTGTGATCCAGCGGGCCGGCCTTGGCGACCGAACTGCACTGTTTGCTGCCAGCCTGGGGACGGGCTCTGTGGCGGGGCCTCCCTGCACAGGGTTGGGAGTGCACAGGCCGAGGGGATGGAGTCAGGGCGGGCTCCCAAGTCAGACAGCCCCTCTGATCTGTGAGTGGCAGCTTCTCAGGACAGGCATCTCTGCGCCGGAGACACTTCACAGGGCACCTGGACCGAGGGCTGAACTCGACTAGGTGTGAAGTGCTGGCCCGGGCCAGGCTCAACAAATGACAGGCCACAGCCCAGGGGTGGAGATGAGCCATGCACGTCCACGGGGATGGAATACGGAGGCTGGGGAATGAATACCTGGGTCACCCAGGCCAACTCCTGAGAGCTTGGATTTAAAATTGTATGTTACACATTTAATCAAACACATAAAGTACTTCCTGTATGTCAGGCAGTGTTCTAAGCTCGGTACGAACGTCAAATGATTTCATCCATATAATAGTCCTAGGAGGTGGGTGACTTATCCTCACTTCATATGTAAGGAAACAGGCCCAGGAGGTTGAGGAACTTGGCAAGGCCAAGGGCAAGCTCTGCCACGTGTCCCCCCCACCCCCTGACTCAGCCTGGGGCTCTAACTGGGGGAGGGACTCTGGCCATTCAGGGAGTGACACTTTGGTGCCTTTCTGACCATGCTGTCCAGTCCCACGGTTAATATCAGCAGTAGTCACTCGGGCCCAGGAGACACCCTGAGTGCTGAGCACTGTGGCCTTCCCAGCCCGCATCTGCCTGACCCAGTGTCTTTCCTCTCCACAGGGAACTTCCAATGGATTGGGGTCCATAGATGACATCGAAACAGGTAGTGTGCCTGATGTCAGGGGACGGGACCCCGGGAAGGGCTCAGCCCCAGCCCCAGCTCTGCATACAAGGCTCCTGAGGGCTCCCTGCCCTGGGGACTCCCTGAAACATGAAAGCAAATAGTGGGTTTGGGAAGACTCCCCGCAGGGAGGGGGACGCACCTCTCTAGCCTGGGAGGGCAGGCTGCCGCACAGTGGGGTAGTGCTGGCTCCATGTTCTCCGCCCCCGCCCCGCCCCAGGAGTCCACCTCTCTCCAAGTCCTCCTCTGTCCACTGTCCTCACTGGCTTCCAGGAAGGGTCACTTTAAAAGTGTCCCTTAGAGAGGGCACTGCTTATGCCAGAGGTAGGATATTCAGGCACTGAGCCAGGCCCATCGGGGGTTTGAAGGACCCTCTCCCGCTCCACGGTGGCCTTCCTTCACTATGACTGACCTCTGCCAATGGGGTCAGGGCAGCGGGGCGGGCAGGGGCTGGGAAAAGGGGGAAGGTGTTGGATGAGGAGCCCAGGGCCCTGGGACACTTGCTCTACTCCCACTAAGCAGGACTCCCTGCAGCTACTGAGCCCACCCCCACGCCCCCCACAGACTGCTACGTGGATCTGCGAGTCTCCCCAGCCCTCCTCCCCTCTACCCCTACGATGCCTCTGTTCCCTCATGTTCTGGACCTGCTGGCCCCCCTGGACAGCAGCAGCAGGGCCCTCCCCAGCACTGAGGGCCTGGATGACTTCTCCGATGGGGACGTCTTTGGTCCTGAGCTGGACACTCTTCTGGACTCACTGGTGAGCCATGCTGCCGCCCAGCTCTCCGGACTCACTCCCCCACCTGGGATCCCATCACATGCATCCTCATGTCCCACCGTGGGGGAGGGGAGGCCCTGTCTCCATGTCACAGGTGGGAACACTGAAGCCTGGGGAGGGAAAGGCACCTGCTTGGGATAGAAGCGTGAAGCTGCAGAATGTGCAGCAGAAGGAATAGGAGAGCTCCTGGCTCACCCCATGGGTCAGGCCAGGGCCTGGGCAGGCGAGTTCTCCTCTGACCCCTCTGTTCTCCATCCTGCAGTCTCTGGTCCAGGGTGGCCTGCCTGGCAGTGGTGTGCCCAGCGAGTTGCCCCAGCTGATACCTGTGTTCCCTGGTGGGACCCCGCTGCTGCCACCTGTGGTGGGTGGGTCTATCCCTGTCTCCAGCCCCCTGCCCCCTGCCTCCTTTGGCCTCGTTATGGACTCCTCCAAGAAGCTGGCTGCCTCCGTGCTGGACGCCCTTGACACCCCAGGCTCCGCACTGGACTCCCTGGACCTGCTGCCGTACTCAGAGACCCGGCTGGACGCCTTGGACAGCTTCGGGTCAACCCGGGGCTCCCTGGACAAGCCCAGCCCCTTCATGGGTGAGGCCTGGGTGGGCACAGTACCCCTCACCCCCTCGACCATGTGCAAAGTGTCATCACAGCTCTATCTGCGGGAGTGGAGTTGGGGCTACAACTCTGTTTTGCCAAAGCCCAGGTCCGTTCACCCTGTCACTGTCCAGGGCCATGTCTTCTGAGATGCTGTGTCCCCTGCCGCTCTCAGCATGGTGTTGGCTGGTATCTTGTTCAAGATCGAACAGCAGCCCTGGCCGGTTTGGCTCAGAGGTTAGAGTATCGGCCCACGACCATAGAGTCACGGGTTCAATTCCAGATCAAGGGCATGTACCTCGGTTGCAGGTTTGATCCCTGGTCCTGATCAGGGTCATATGGGAGGCAACCAATTGATGCGTCTCTCTCACATCGATGTTTCTCTCCCTCCCTCCCTCTAAACCTCCCACTCTATCTGAAAAATCAATGGAAAAATATCCTCGGGTGAGGATTTAAAAAAAAAAGATCGAACAGCACAGCTGGGTTAGTTTAGGACACCAGACTTACGGTCTGGTGCTCTCTGCCGAGCCTCCCAGGGCCTTGGGGTGGCTAGGCTGGTGGGATCCCACAGGGATGATCCTGAGCCTAGGGAAAGGAGTTCAAGGTCATGGGCTCCTTCTCTGAGCTGGGTGCCAGGAACCCAGAGAAGAAACAGGCCCATCTGGGCCCTTACAGGACCTGCTTTCCACAGTCAGACGTAGCCCAGAGAGTTCACGGCTCAGGGGAATTCATGGAGCTGCAGGAGCACAGAGGGGCTTCACTCAGCCTCAGGGCCAAGGGAGGCTTCCAGGAGATGATGGCACCTCTTGAAGGAGGTCATCTGCCAGCAGAGGGAGCAGTTTGACACAGGCCTGCGGGACAGAGGGACATCTCCCAAGGCAGATGAGCGCAGCTGGAGGGAGAGGGGATTGGGGGCCTTGAAGACCTGCGCTGGTCTCAGAGGACCTGTGAGCCAAGCTGGGGCGCCTCAGCTTTCTCCTGGGGACAGTGTGGGGTGCAGAAGTGTAAGCACAGGTGGACATGCTCAGGCTGGGATGCTTCCCTGTCCTTGTGGGGGTAGAGTTAAGGGATCAGCATAAATAGAAGATGTGTAGCCTGGTAGGTTTCTCTGGGTTAGAAATATGGAGGAAAAAGTCCTTGGAGGGCCCCTCACACCCTTCAGAGCAGGATGGTGACCCCCTTTGTCTCCTTGCCCAGAGGACACCAACTCACAGGACCATCGTCCCTCAAGTGGTACTCAGAAACCAGCCCCCTCGGTGAGTGACTTGGTGAGGATCGGTGACTGGGCATCCCATGCCCTCCTGGGGGTGGAAGGCGAGTGGTTGTGGGCTCCAGAGTGGGGGTGAGCCCTCTGCCTGGGACAAGGGGTTGCATTCCCCAAGGAGGGGCCCTCAGAGCAAACAGGCCATAGATGGTCTCTCCCAGCCCTTCGAAACTGAGCTGTGTGCTGGGAGGGTGAGCCAAGGCACCAGGGTCTGACAGAAGAGGACACTGAGGTTCAGAGGGGCTAAGTGACTTCCTCAGGGTTAGTAACATCCCTGGTTTCAGAACGCAGCCAGGACTCAGTAAGAGAGCACTGGACCAGGAGTTAGAGAGCCTGAACTCATGCCTCACCTGGACACGAGCTGTGCGGGCCCAGGGACGTCACCTATCCTCTTAGTCTGGGGGACAGCTTGTGCATAGGTCCCAAGTGGGGCCACTCCTGTTTCTCTGCTTTCATAATGGGCTTTTACTCAAGGAGAGGCTCTAGGGCACGGTCCCTGTTACCCACACCCCCGCCAGACTGGCCTTGTCCTGATGTTCTGGATTCCTGGGTCATGTTATAAGGAGCTCCCTGGCTGGGAGGGTCCTGGGCTATAGCTCTGCTCTTGGATGAGATGGGGGTCATAGAGCCCCCTACGGTGGTGCCCAGGCTGGCCCTGGTGCCTCCAGCCATCATCCAGTGCCCAAGATGGCCAATTTCCTCTTGTCGCAGCCAGAGCCCTCCATGCCCAACACTGCCTTGCTCATCAAGAACCCCCTGGCTGCCACCCATGAGTTCAAGCAGGCCTGCCAACTCTGCTACCCCAAAACAGGTAATGTCACACCTTTATACTCCACCCCTCTCCCCAGAGATGCTGGGAATCTCGGGAGCTCGGAGTCCCAGAATGACAGAGTCCTAGTGTGCCAGAGGGGAATGCGTGCCGGTCACAGGAGTCCCTCGGGGGTTTTGAGCAGACAAGGACATGGGTGGGGGGGCCTGGGGGTTTTCAGAAGTGCTGGAAAGGCTGGAGGACAGAAGGGGATGCTGCTGGCGCTGTTGATGAGGGTCACGGCTGCCGGGGCCCCGAGGCTGGTACCTGGCTGCGGAGCGCAGTCCAGGGGCAGCCACATCACACACCTCCCAGCAGAAACAGCCCACACCGCTCCATGCTCCACCGCTGCGTGCATCTCGCTGCTGGAGTCACACCTTGCCCAGCAGGCAGGGGGCAGAGGACTTTGGGAAAGGTATTTCCTCGTCTTCCAGACCCCAAATCCAAGGGAGGCAGTAGAAGCAGTTCAAAACGGATGCCTAAGTCCAGCCAGTGTGGCTCAGTGGTTGAGCGTCGACCCATGCACCAAGAGGTCGCTGGATCAATTCCCGGTCAGGGAACATGCCAAGTTGTGGGCCTGATCCCCAGTGCGGGGTATGCAGGAGGCGACCAGTTGATGTTTCTATCTCTCCCTCTCCCTTTCTCTCTCACTAAAACCCAATAAAGAAAAATGTATATATTTTAAAAAGAAAGAAAATAGAAACTGTCAGCCTATGTCCATGAAAATATCTTACAAAAAAATAGGGTAAAATAAAGACTTTAAAAAAAAATCGATGCCCAAGATTGGTGGATAATTTTAGCACACCTAGCATCTCAGAAATCTAGACTGTAAGACTCAGTGCTTCATTTGTCAGAATCCCACAGTCCTGAAGTTTTAGAATGATATTCTCTTAGGATTCCAGGGTTAAAACTCTTAGTCTGGAATTGTCCATCTCTGGGGTATTGGAGTTGACAGGATCTTAGAGGTCATCCACCTGCTGTAAGACCTCCCCCCACTCCACATACCTGTCACCCCTGACAGAGTCATCCTGCCAGAGTGCCCATGGATCTGTGGGGACAGAGAGCAGAGTGCCATCTTGTTGGACGGCTGTGCCCATGAGGAAGTTCTTCCCTGACCGCCTGACCCGCGTGCCCTCTGCTCCCTGCACTGAGGCCTCTGAGGCCCCAGGAGCCGGTGCACACCTGCGCTGGCAGCCGGGTCACATAGGGCCTACAAGGGCCGTTTCCTGTTGGTCTCTTTGAAGAGATAACTCCACTCCAGTGTCTAGGGAGAGGAGTCCTTTGGTCAGAAGATTTGAGGACCAGGAAGAAAAAGGAGCAGTGCAGGGAGGATGAATCCAGGCGATGCCATCTGGGGCAGGATGAGAAGGGAGGGCGTTTTGGAGGTCTGCTCTCTGCTGGGCATTGTCTTCGTAATTCATTCTAGGGAAACACTGACATGCTCAGGCTCACTAGAGGGTCAGGGTAGTAGAAAGGGGGAGGGTGCTGAGAAGGGGCTCCTTGAAGGACCCCCCCCAATCCAGACCCCAGAGAGCATGTGGCATCGGAGGGTATGGCAGGAGGCCCAGGTGAAGGAGACAGGTTTTTAGGCAGGGAGACCAATTCCCACTGTTTGGGCCTGTCGGCCATCACCCTTCAGTTCTAATTCTGGAGTTACAGTCCCTTTTCTCCCTGCACGCACAGGCCCCAGGGCAGGTGACTACACCTACCGCGAGGGCCTTGAGCATAAGTGCAAGCGGGACATCCTGCTCGGCCGGCTCCGGAGCTCCGAGGACCAGACCTGGAAGCGGATCCGGCCCCGGCCCACCAAGACCAGCTTCGTGGGCTCCTACTACCTGTGCAAAGGTGGGTGGCCTGCAACAGGGACGGCTCTTCTCACACCGGGCTGCTGCTCTGCTCCTCATCACAGGTAGATGGAGGTAGACAGCACGTGTGGCCCATCGCGGGTGAAGCCCACTTCTGAATGAGCATCTCCCACACGGCCCAGCTCTGCAGGCAGGCGGAACGTTCGGAATGTCACGTTCGAGCTGGCGGCCTGTGCTCTCGAATGGGAGGGTCGGATAGTTCATGGAGAGCTAGCTTCTTACTGCTGCGGGGTCCCAAAGGGCTGTAGGAAGGATGTGAAAAGAATCCATGTAAAGCACTTAGGACTGGCACATAGTAAGGGCTCGATAAATGTTAGATTTTAGAAATTATTCTGTTGTCATTGTCCCCACTTGGTTGAAATTGAATGGACAGTTATCATGTACCTGATATACTTTGTTCTGTTCCTCAACCAAGCGTCTTGGTGCAGTCTGCAGAGCAATATGTGACAGTCACAATATTAAGTGCTTTATGTTGTCACCCTTTTGTACCCACTGTCATGCATCCTCAGACTCTGGGTGGTGGAGCCCATGCTTTGCAGATGAAGATGTGAATCCCCGCCCCCCCACCCCCTAGGTGTAGAGCAAAGACAGGCTGGCCCGGGACACGCTTCCCTGAGCTCTGCCACGCCACCCCTCCAAGTCCTCCTGGTGGGCAGGCTGCCACCCTTGTGTCGGAGATGAGCCCAAGCCCTGCTGGGGGTTGCTGGCCCACCCCCCAGGGCACAGCGGTGGTCATGGGGGCGCTGCAGGCTGCCGTCCCACCTGGCAGAACGTGTGTCCTGTTGCCTCTTTGCAGACATGATTAACAAGCAGGACTGTAAGTACGGGGATAACTGCACCTTCGCCTACCATCAGGAGGAGATCGACGTGTGGACTGAGGAGCGGAAGGGCACCCTCAACCGCGACCTGCTCTTTGACCCACTGGGGGGCGTCAAGCGCGGCAGCCTCACCATCGCCAAGCTCCTTAAGGAGCACCAGGGCATCTTCACTTTCCTCTGCGAGGTACCTGCTGCCTGCCCCGCCCACCTGTGACCTCCTAGTCAATGGCACAGACAGGGCTGAGGAGGGGTCTCCCTGGTGCGTTCCATCTTGGAATGTCAGCCCCGAACCTCTGGGTTTCGGAGGCCTGGCCCTAGAATCAGTAGGTCCCTGGACTGTCAGAAAGAGGCTCAGAGGCTGCTGTCCTGCTAGAGCCCAGATCCTATCCAGCCCCTCACTGTGGAGGCGGGACCTGAGGCCAGAGGAATAATCACACCTGCTCTTCCCTTACGGCTGTCGTGGGCCAGGCTCGGCGCCAGGTGCTTTAGGTTCTCATTCCACCCTCCTCACACCTCCAGTCCAGTTGGGCTGACCTCAGTGCCCGCTGCACCTCCCTGCCCACTTCTCTGCATGTGTCCAGCCTGTATGCTCTCCCTGGAGTGCCTCAGACCCCCGAGGCCCAGCTCTGATCCAAGCAGCCCCACCAGGCTGTGGTTAATTCCCTCACCAGAGCTGTCACAGAAGACCCTGCTGGGCCCTGCCTCCCCACCCAGTCAGCACGTGAGGGTCCCGGTCCATGGAGTGAGAGCTATGGGTCCAGGTTGCTGGCAGGGTTGGGTGCAGTTCAGCCCAACCTCGATCCACTGCACAGCCAGCCCCTCCCTCCGACTCGGAGCAGGCAGGCGGGGAGCAGATGGCCCGGGTATCACAGCTCCCAGCCGGGCAGCTGTAGTTCTGTTATATGTTTGTTGAGCTTCACCGTGACCCTGTGGGACCGACCCAGTGTGGTTATCCCCAGTTTACAGTTGAGGAAACCGAGGCTCAGAGGCATGGAGTAACCCCTGCCCTAGGCATGGCATGGTGACTCCCTGACCCAGTGAGGGTTGGGATCTGAGAGAGCCAAGGCCCAGGTTACCTGCAAACTAGAGCCAGAGAGCTTGGGGCCGCAGACCCTGGGACTCGCTTCCTCACTTTCTGGACTCAGGTGCTCAGAGCAGGGCTTACAGGGACCCATCTGTCCACCCCCACCCTGGGTGGCCATGCTGGGTCCCAGCCCACGCCCCCCCTGGGCAGATCTGCTTTGACAGTAAACCCCGGATCATCAGCAAAGGCACCAAGGACTCTCCATCTGTCTGCTCCAACCTGGCTGCCAAGCACAGCTTCTATAACAACAAGTGAGTGGCACCCGCAGCCCAGCACGGGGGTGGGGGTGTGGAAAGGCTCCCTGGGGCAGTTCAGATGCTAGGGCCAGAGGGCAGACCTAGGGTGTCAAGGCAAGGGGCAGAATTTGGGACTCTGACCAGCATCCACCTGGAAAGGACAGACAGAACCACCTTTATTGAGCATCTGTATTCCAAGCATCCTCTCGGGTACCTGAATGTCCCTGTAGTCCTGTGAGGGCAGACTTACTGTCTGTGTTGTACAGATGAGAAAACTGAGACTTGGAAGAAGCGTACTCATCAGGCAAGTGGGAGGCCGCATCTCTGACTGCTGTCTGGTGCCCTCCCTCTTGTAACATCAGCATTGGACAGTGAGTGGGAGGGGTTGGGTGAGCCAGGCACCCTCCTACGCTCCCTCTGACCCCTTGGCTCTGCCCCAGTGGGGGTGATGGAGCCCTGGAGTCAGACAGATCTGGGTCCAAGTCCCAGCCTGCTCAGTGGTCTGTTCTATGTCCCCTGGCCACTGTGACCCTTGGTTTTCTCATTGGTACAGGTGATGATAATCCCAAGTCTCCTAAGGTTGCTGTGAGGGTAATTAAAATTGCTGGCCTGAAGGAGGTGCTCAATTATTATTCCTGTGGGTGCAGGACCAGTTCGGGAGCATCGGGCTGGGAACCTGGGGGAAATGCCCCTTCTCCCACCCATGGGCATGCCCTTCTCCCAGCCTCAGAGCAGGTGGGAGCTGCTGTCCTGCTCCTGTGGGCAGCTCCATTTTTTTTCCTTCTATCTGTACCTGAGGATATTTTTTTCCATTGATTTTTAGAGAGAGTGGAAGGGAGGGAGGGGGAGAGAGAGAGATATGAGAGAGACACATTGATTGTTTGCCTCCGGCACGTGCCCCAGCTGGAGCCAGGGATGGAACTTGCAACCCAAGTATGTGCCCTTGACCAGGAATGGAGCCCATGACCCTTTGGTGCATGGGTCGATGCTCTAACCACTTGGCAACACCAACCAGGGCTGAACAGCTCCATTTTTTTTTTATCCTCACCCAAAGACATTTTTGTATTTATCTTCAGATAGAGTGGGGGTGGGGGGGAGAGAAACATCAATGTGAGAGAGACTCATCGACTGGTTGCCACCTAATCGACCCCAACCAGGGTCGGGGACAAACTGTAACCGAGGTACGTGCCCTTAGTGGGAACCAAACCCGGGCCTCTCTGTTCGCGGGCTGACGCTCTAACTGCTGAGCCAAACTGGCCAGGCTGAGCAGCTCCACTTTTTAGCTTGCCCCAGACTGAGGCCAGCGGAGGACCCCTCCTGCCACCGACTGTGCCATTGCGTTGTAGACAGTCAGCTGGGCAGGAGGAGCCCTGCCCTCGGGCGTGCTGGCACTGGAGAGTGGCCCGCCAGGAGCCCCTACCTGCATTGTGCCCCTACCTGCCCTCCAGGTGCCTGGTGCACATCGTCCGCTCCACCTCCCTCAAGTACTCCAAGATCCGCCAGTTCCAGGAGCACTTCCAGTTCGACGTGTGCCGCCACGAGGTGCGCTACGGCTGCCTGCGGGAAGACAGCTGCCACTTCGCCCACAGCTTCATCGAGCTCAAAGTCTGGCTGCTGCAGCAGTATTCAGGTGCGGCCGGCAGGCTCTGCAGCTCCGGGGAGGGGGGTGGGGGCCGGTGGAGCCGGCTCCTGCTCGTCAGCTAGCTGGGTGGCTGCCAGCAGGTCATACCCCCTGCTGAGCCTCCGTGTGCTGGTCTGTGAAATGGTGACCCTCGTCTCCGCGTCAGAGTTGAGATGAAAAGCTCTTTGCTCACTTATTCTCTCACTCATCTAACGGACTCACTGAGCCCCTCCCCAGCAGGGACGGAGCAAGGGCCAGTGAGGGCAAGGCGGGCGGTGTACCAAGTGGGCATTCCAGCTCTTCTAGGACACACATTGCTCCCCGCTCCAAGGCTTCTGACCAGAATAACTGGAAGGATGGGGTTGCCATGCTGTGCGAAGGGGAGGCTCTAGGAGGAGCGGGTTTGGGAGTCATGTCCAGGCCCAGTGTGGGAAGTGGGGAGCTTTAGCCGCCTGTTGGACTTCAAATGGAGATATTGAGCAGGCAGCCAGAGGGGCACCTGGGAGTTCATGGGGGAGGTCTGGGCTGGAGGTACATACTTGGGAATCATCAGCAAGAAAACAAATGTCAGGCGCAGTGGCTGGCTCAGAGTCAGTGGCTGATGACCAGTGGCCACCGTGGAGCAGTATCCATAGGACAAGGTCGAAAGTGAGATCAGTTCTGGGAAAGGTCCGAGAAGGCCGGAAGAGGGTAGCAGGGAGGGCAACTTCATGGAGGAGGCTCTGAGCTACACCCCAGAAGGTGGGCTCAGTGTGAACAGTCAGATTGGGAAGATCTGGGCCACCGGGCTCAGGTATATGCCCTTTGCTGACTGTCAGTAAAGAGATGTGACCCCTCGGGGCGCTGGTGAGCCAGGCTGGGCCAGGCGTGGAGCCCTAAGAACCAGTGGGCTAGAGGCTGCCAAGCAGAGGTCAGGCTTGAGGCCCCACTGGGTGAGATGGGGGTCAAGGCAGGGTGCTGAGCAGCACCCAAGAGACAAGGGACAGTGGCATTGGGTCAGGGAGTCACCATGCCATGCTGCAGAGCCAGCATCTTTCTCCAACATTTTCCTACTCTTGGCTGCATTTTATTCCCTTGTGCCTGTGAGGACTTGGGGGAGGCCTCTGTCCCAATCACACCTGAGCAGCCAGGCCCTGCACCCCACCTCTTTCTGTGGAAGACCTAATAGGATGGGACCCCTCCACCTGAGCCTGGGGTGGATGGCAACCCTCAGATCCCTGCCTCTCTTCGCTGAGCTCCTTCAGGGACACCCATGTCTGCTCCCGCCCTTGCCAGGCATGACCCATGAAGACATTGTCCAGGAATCCAAGAAATACTGGCAGCAGATGGAGGCCCACGCGGGGAAGGCCAGCAGCAGCTTGGTAAGGCCCTGGGTTGGTAATGGGGGTGGGGTCAGGCCGCATCCCTTTACTTGGACGTAATTTCAGATTTACCAGAAAATTGTAAGAATGGTACAAAGAATATGTTTCTGGATTCCCCAGATGCTAACATTTTATCACATTCCACACTCACTTTGTCCTGTGTGCATGTGTGTGTGTATGTATACCTACACATATACATTTATATACAGAAATGTACACACTTTTTTTCTGAACTATTTGGGCATAAGTTGCAGACATGATGCCCCATTCCCCCTAAATATGTCAGTGTGTATTTCCTAAAAATAAAGACGCTCTCTTACATAACCACAGGACAGTTATCAACATCACAAAGGTAACATTGGCGTGATTGTTCAGATTCTGGTGTACTGCTGTCACAATTTGTGAATCATTCCCAAATCCCAAGTAACACAGCATTCGCCCATTGTGTCTCTTTAGTCTCCTTTAATCTAGAGCAGTTCCTTGCTGTCTTTCATGACCTTGACATTTGTGAAGAGCTGGTTGCTTTGTAAAAGGCCCGTCCATCTGGGATTGTCCAGTGGTTCCTCAGACCTCAGGGTGATGTTCTGTTCTCGGGTCACTCACCAGAAGGCACATCATCCGATTTGTCCTTTTACGGGCGATAACTTGATGTAAGGTGCCTCCACTGTGAAGGTTTCTCTACAGTGAAGTTATATTTCTCCCCTTTATAATTAATAGGTATCTTCTGGGGAGATACTTGAGACCATGTAAATATCCTGGTATTCCTCAGACTTTCATCCACCAGCTGTTATTACCTTCCATCCCTCTTTTCTTTTAAATCTTACCCGAGGCTATTGTTCCATTTATTTCCAGACAGAGTGGGAGGGAGAGAGAGTGAGAGAGAAACATCGATGTGAGAGAGACATATCATTTGGTTGCCTCCTGCATAACCCCAACCAGGGCTGGGGACCAAATCACAACCGAGGTACATGCCCTTGACTGGAATCGAACCCATGACTCATTGGTCCGTGAGCTGATGCTCTAACGCTGAGCCAAACTGGCCAGGGCCCTCTTCTTTTAAAAAATTCTTTAAATACGTTTTTATTTTCGAGAGAAACATTGATTGGCTGCCTCCCACACACACCTGACCCAGGATCGAGCCCACAACCTGGACATGTGCCCAAACCAGGAATCAAGTGACCTTTTGGTGCAGGGGACAATGCTGAACCAATTGAGCCACACCAGCCAGGGCACCTCCTGTCCCTCTTGAGCCTTACCCTGTCCCTGAAGACTGAGCTGTGGCATCATGGCTTTTGCAGATGGGGAAGTGGAGGCTCAGAGCATGCTCAGACCTGCCCAGGGGCACACTTACTGGAGTAAATCCCAGGCTCTCTGCCGTCTTGTCTGGAGCTCACTCTGCTTCCTCCCACCCTGCACAATGCCCTTTAGGGTTCCTCACCATAAAACGGGAACCGTAGTCCTGCCTGCCGTCTCCCAGGGTGTGTGTGAGGCTCACAGGAGCTGACCACACTGCTCTCACATGTGGTTCAGTTTTGCTTCTGGCAGGGAGCCCAGTTGGGCATCGTGAGAGGCTAAGGCTGGACCTGCAGCATCATCTAACGCGAGAACACTGAGTCCTTGTCATCTCCTATCCTTCTGACCCCCTTCATACTGCCCAGGGCTACTGCCAGGGTCCCCAGGAATGGGTGCAGGCCTAGCTGCCCAAAAGTACCATGACAGGCTTCAACCCCATCTTGCTGCCAGGCCCCACCCTCCCCAGCAAGATGCCTCTTTCCGGCCTGGCTCCAGAACAGGGCTTCTGTGCCAGGCTTGGTCATGACCCGGGCATGGGCATCTTGTTTGTTTGTCATCATAGGGTGGAGCCAGTGGCACTATGGGGCCTAGAAAGAGATGCCAGGGTTAAGTTGCTTGGGCCAGTGCCCATGGCAGAGCTGTGTCATCCCACAAAGAAGCACGAGCTCCCGCCTCACACCAGGTCCCTGTCCTCGGGCCTCTTACCTGTGGGTGGGTTAGTAACCTCTCTGAGCCTCAGCTTCGGCCCCGTCAGGTGGGAACGATCCACCTCTCCAGGGCTGCAGTGAGGAGCTGGAGTGGCAGTTCCCTCATGCGGTGGCAGAGCCACAGCGTCCCTCCAAGCCCCACTTACCTCACCTGTGAAAAGGTGAGAATGCGCCCTGGCTGGTTTGGCTCAGTGGTTAGAGCGTCGGTCTGCGGTCCTGAGAGACCCGAGTTCGGTTCCCACTAAGGGCATGTACCTCGGTTGCAGTTTGTCCCCAGCTCTGCTTGGGTCGTGCGGGTGGCAGCCACTCGATGTGTCCCTTTCTTGCCGATGTTTCTCTCTCTCCTTCCCACTCTATCTGAATAAAAAATGGAAAAATGTCCTCGGATGAGGATTAAAAAAATTAAATAAATAAATAAAAAGGTGAGAATGCAGTGGAACACCCAGCAACCAGCAGCGATGGCATAGGCGTGTCCCAGAGATAAAGGTGTGGTTTTACCTCATCACTGGGACGATGTGCGTTATCCAGGGGCCAAGCCAGGGATCAGTCAACACAAGGATGGAACCCCTTCCTGCTCCAGGGCAGCCCCTGGACTGGGCGGTGCGGGGACACAGGTGCACGCATGGCAGGGGATGCAGACCTGCCAGCCTGCAGGGTGGCCCCATCGCTGAGGCTCCAGGGATGTGGGGAGGCTCTAGCTAACAGGAGGGACAGCTCGGTTGCAGGAGGCAAGGCTGGGAGGCACTTTTCTCACCTCTTGCCCCTCACCCTGACCCAGGGGTGCAGAAGAGCAGAGCCTCCTGCCTGCAAAGGAAAGGCTGGGGCAGAGGACAGGCACTGAACACACGGGGCCTTAGAGAGTCCAGGGCTGCCCAGAAATCTGCCCGCCCACCCATCACAGGCCCCCCCCGTCCCTACCTACTGCAGGTGGCTCTCCACCAGGCCCAGCCCTCGTAACTGAGTCCACCAACATGGGTAGTCTAGGGAATGTGGGGGCTCAGAGGATGGGCCGCTCCACCATGGCGAGCTCCAGGAAGCCTTCCTGAAGAGGTGCCTGAGCTGGGTTTTGAAGGTTCTAGAACAGACCTAACGAAGAATGGAGAAAGGGCACCCAGGAAGAGGGCACAGCATGCACAAAGGCAGGGAGTGTGAGGTCGCATGCCAGCAGCTCCACCAAGCAGGCTGCTGTGGACTTGGCGGAGACACTGGGTCAGGAGCCCCATCCCAGGCCTCACTTCCACATGGAGAGGCCGTGGGCCTGGAGTTGGGGAGGGTCGCTTCCTGCCTGTAAGTGGTAATGGACTGGCCCGTTCCAAGGCTCTGAGCAGCCCTAATGTTCCCCGAGGCCACCCTCATGATGCACCTCAGGGCCTCAGCCCTGGTGCCTATGACTTCCCCAGCTCCTCTGCCCACAGGGTGCCCCGCGGACACATGGGCCCAGCACCTTTGACCTACAGATGAAGTTCGTGTGCGGCCAGTGCTGGAGGAATGGGCAGGTGGTGGAGCCTGACAAAGACCTCAAGTACTGTAGTGCCAAGGCCCAGCACTGGTAAGTGGGGTGCGGGCTGGGTGGGGGCCACCGGAGCACCACAGGTGAGGCTGCGTGTCTCTGGATGTCATACGGCCTGAGGCTCTGCCCAAGCCCTCCCCAGCTGGCCCCCTGCTCTGCCCTGCAGCTGGACCAAGGAGCGGCGGGTCCTTCTGGTGATGTCCAAGGCCAAGAGGAAATGGGTGTCAGTGAGGCCACTGCCGTCCATCCGCAACTTCCCACAGCAATACGATGTGAGCACCGGGGGTGGGGTGAAGGAGGGCAGTGCGACCTCGGATGGGGCGCTCTGGGGCCCTGGAGGGCTTGCCCTCCAGCTGGGGCATTGACACAGTCAGCGGGACTCAGCAGGCTCTCCCCTCGCCCGTCCCACAGCTCTGCATCCACGCGCAGAATGGCCGCAAGTGCCAGTACGTGGGGAACTGCTCCTTCGCACACAGCCCGGAGGAGAGGGACATGTGGACGTTCATGAAGGAGAACAAGAGTGAGTGGGCAGACCAGGCAGGGTGGAGGCCTGATCCAGTGTCCCCTCATTACCGGACACCCCAACTCTTCAGCAGGCCCAGAAGCACCTTTGCCACTGGGCCCTTCTCCAGGCTTGTCAGCCCCTTTGGTCTTCTGGAGTTGACCTGGAGCCCAGCAGCAGGGGTCACGGGCAGAATGGAGGGAGGATCCCCTCACCATGCACTCTATCCCCGATTTCCCATCAGTCCTGGACATGCAGCAGACCTACGACATGTGGGTGAAGAAACACAACCCCGGGAAGCCGGGGGAAGGGACCCCAATCAGTTCCCGGGAAGGGGAGAAGCAGATCCAGATGCCCACGGACTACGCTGACATCATGGTAATGCCCACGCGTGCTTGGGTCTGTGCTCTGAGCCTGACGGGGGACGGGCAGCGGGGAGGGGCCCAGCCTCCGGGCAGAGGTGTGGGGAGTGGGCACCCATGGCGGCTGTGCCCCCAGATGGGCTACCACTGCTGGCTCTGCGGCAAGAACAGCAACAGCAAGAAGCAGTGGCAGCAGCACATCCAGTCCGAGAAGCACAAGGAGAAGGTCTTCACGTCCGACAGCGACGCCAACGGCTGGGCCTACCGCTTCCCCATGGGCGAGTTCCGGCTCTGCGACAGGTGCTGGCGGGGAGGGCAGTGCCGCGGGGCAGACATGCGCTGGGCTGGGGCAGTGGAGGCCATGGCTAGCTCTGGCTCCTCTTGGCCTGGAGATGGCACACAAGGGGTGGTATGTCCAAAAACAGCTGCCCTTGGATGTGAGGAGCATATGGCTGGACAGGACAGGGTTGGAGGGGCGGGTTGGGGAGGGGTCTGGCCAGATCCTTATTTGCAGCCCTGGGTCAGACTCTAGAGAAGGCTGGGAGAGGCTTGTCTCGAGGGAGGTGAAGCTGCCAGCCCCAGGTCCCAGGTCCAGTAGCCCATGGTGGTCAGGGCACAGGAATTGGGCAGTGAGCCTCCTGCTGCCCACAGGCTCCAGAAGGGCAAGGCCTGCCCGGACGGGGACAAGTGCCGCTGCGCTCATGGACAGGAGGAGCTCAACGAGTGGTTGGACCGGCGTGAGGTGCTGAAGCAGAAGCTGGCCAAGGCCCGCAAGGACATGCTTCTGTGTCCACGGGATGACGACTTTGGCAAATACAACTTCCTGCTGCAAGAGGATGGCAACGCTGCTGGTGCCGCCCCAGAAGCCCCTGCTGCTGCCACCGGGGAGTAGAGCCAGGTCTTGGCCGTGGGTGAAGTCCTAGGGTCAGGGGTGGGGATAGGGACAAAGGGCCTGGTAGAAGGGCCAGGACAGGGGGTGGGGGGCCGCCCTCACCAGGCAGCCCCTGGCCCTGGAGGCCCCACCCATCTCATCTGCCCCCACCACCATGTGCAAGCCCGGGTTCCCATGCTGCGGCCTCAAGCGGTCCCAGGGTCTTCATCCTGCTAAAACCCTGGGCAGGCCCTCCCCCATCCCCAGTGCTCCTGGTTGGACCCCTCTAGCTTAAGCTACAGCTTTAACTTCTCTCTTTTCCTAAAGGGGGCCCGAAGCTCAGGGCTGAAAAGCCTGGGGTCCCCACTTGAATCAATAGCAGGGGGGTCCTCTCTGCCCTACCTTCATTCCACCCCCACCTTCCTGGGACAGATCAGGACACAACAGAAGACAGGAAATCCCAATTAGCTTTAAAATGTAGCCCCAGAATGGAGCTGGGACACTGTATTGGTCACCTACCCTCTGGGGTCAGTTTTCCCTCTGGTTGGGGGGTGGGGGGCTGGGCTAGTTGATCTCTGGAGTCTGGCTCTCAAGTGAGGCCAGCAGCCCAGCCCCTCTCATTCTTGAGCCACTGAATGTAGATCATAGATGCTCAGAGCTCTGGCGATGACCCAGCCCAAACCCCCACTTTGCAGATAGGAAATTTGAGGCCTAAAGGGGATGAGTGATCTGCTCAGAGTCTCCATCCCATGGCATGAGGTAGAACTGGGGTGCAAACTCTGGTCAGAAGACCCAGGGCCTGTCATTAGCTGCAGCTTCCAGGCTTTTGGCAGGCATGTGACAGCCTCTGAATCAGTGTGCAGCTGGGATCCCAGGCAGTGCTGCCCAAGGACCGGGGAACGAGGTTCTGAGGGTTGGTCATGTCAGCACAGAGGAGGGGAAGGCCTCTCCTGAGGATGGTTGTGAGGAGTGTAGCAGCCAAGGTTACTTCCCCACACTGCTCAGGGACAGGTAGTAGGGAGAGGTGAGAATGGGCAGGGCACCTATGAGCTCAGGTTCTGCATGAGGTACTGGGGTGAGGGAGATGTGGAGAGAAGGGAGACATGACCCTGGGTACCATGGGCCATTGTAGGACCAGACACAGCCCCTCTTTCTTGGGGACCCAGCATGGTCCTTTCCCCTTCTCCCCTAGACCCAGAAATACAATTATGACTGTCTGTCCTGGCCCCTCCCTGCTCCCTGGCCCTGCCAGCTGCCTAGGACCCCAGCTGACACCTAGCCCCTGCCCCCACCCACCAAGCCCCTCTCCTGTTCCCATTCATCTAGTCTGTCTATGTACACCCTCTCCTCTCCATCCACCCCCTGTAGGCAGACCCAACCTCCCCTGGTTCCCTAGACATTCCAGAAAGCCCCACATCATTGGCACAAAAAGTGGGGCCCTCCCCCAGAAGGAACCAGGGACCAAGGCTGGAGTCAGGGGTAAGACGGAGAGTATAGAATACCCCTTATTTCTCCTCAAGCAAGGATTGATAGTGTGTGGTGATAGGATGATGGGCATCCTGGGCTGCAAAGAACCCTGTTCTTGCTGCCACTGCCCAACCTTTCCCCAGTAATTGTGGCATGCATCCCTTCCTCCCCTGTCCCTGCCCCCAGCAGGCCAGCACTACAGGGTTTGGGTGCTGGTGGCGTGGCTGGAGGGGAGGAAAGACCACACCCAATGTGGGGGCCGTGGCCATGAATGTCAATGACACTTGTTTTCCCTGATCCGTGGTGTTGCAGTCTGTTGTCACCAGCCTTGTTTTTAGTGTGTATATATGTCGCCCCCGTGATGCATATATACACAGGTATTAAATATATCACTCTATATAATATTATATATGTGTGTGGTATCCAACGAATCACTTCTATTGAGGGCTAAAGATAAAGAATTTGGCCAGAAAATGCAGCCAACCTGAAGTAATTTGGAGAGGTTTCCAGGGTCGTCAGACCTTTTTCGAGGAGTCAGGGACTAGAGCCATGGTCAGAGGTGACTGGGGCAGCAGGGGCAGAAGTGGCTTTGCCTGGGCCCAGCTCTGCCTGGCAGCTTGCAGACCGCCCCTCGTGGGAGAGAGGGAGTGCTCAAGAACAGAAAAGGATCGGTGTTTCTCTCTCACCTGAGGGAATAGGGTTAGAGTCCAGATTTTTTTTCTTCAACCTTTTATCCAACCAGGGGCCCTTGGGATCTGGGCCTTCCTGGCCTGGCCACAGCGGGATCCCCTAGTGGGAGGCAGGAAGAGGGGTTGAGGGGAGGGAAACAGGAGTACACTTTGAATGATGAGGGTGATTATTTCAGTTGTGACTCTGACTGGGAGGCTCAGAGTGTTGAACTAAGGGCCAATGTCCATCACCACCAGGCAGGGACAAGACAGCATGGAGAACATGGTGATGAGGGCAGGCGCTCTTGATGTGAGTGTCCCTTTGGGGTAGGGCAAAGAGGGCTGCTGCGTTTCTCGGCTGGGCAGTAATCAATTGAATGGTCCTTTTAAAATGTGTATTAAAATTTAAGAATACCACACTTTAATATTAAATATTCATAAGGTCTAGTATCTTGATAATAATGTAGATGTTTTAATAACAATTTTTGTCCTTCTTAAAATAAAATGAAAGAAACTTGCTTCTTTTAGCCTTTGTTCTAGAAAATAAATGTGTGCATTTTGACCTCTGTCCCCAAGGTGTCGCTCCTGTTCCTCCCTGCCTGGAATTTGTGCCTGGGGCCTGGGCTGCTCTATACTCATGGGGCAGAGCTGGCTGGTGCTGGGCATGCCTCATGGCAGACATTCCAAAGGGTGAGGGGCAGGTCTGTGTCCCTTGGTAAACAGGGCAACTCAGCTGACCCTGGCTCAGGCAGCCTCAGCTGACAGGGACAAGCTGTGCTCTGCACAAGTGGCCCCAGTAGCCGCCCTTTGCTGGCTCTTCTGCAGCCTGCCTGTTTGCAGCCCTCCACATGGGCTGTCCAGCAGTACCCACGCCTTCTTGCTTTTGCCATGTGCACCGTTCTGGGTTCCAGAGGGCTGGCACTGTGCCTTCTCTGGGTGTGGCTTTTTCAGAAAGGCTAGGGGCCATGTCATGCTTTGGAATATGATCCTAACTGCAACCCAGACTCCTCTGGGCCCAAGCGAGATTCAAGTCACATGGGCTTCCTCATCTTTAAAAGGAGAGCGTATATTAAGTCCAGAATTCTCAATGAGGGACATCTGTATCTACTGGAGATACTTTTTCAGATCTCGTATTGTGTGTGGTTGCAGGTAATGGAGGGGGATCCTGATGGGAGGGGCTATACATGTTCATAAGCAGGTTCATCAGACAGCCTAAACTGCAGTACAGAGTGGCCCTAGGAGCAGAGGTCCAACACCTGTGACTTCTCCGAGGACAGGGAATCATATGGGCCTGTTATGCAGTAGGGGCTAAGATGCCTGATAAATGGCCAAATGAGCAAGCAGCCAACTTGACTGAGCAGACCTTCTGTGTGCCAGGCGCCATGGATGCAGCATGTCTGTTTTCCACAGCAACCCTGCACATTCAGTGTAGGTTCCAAGGACCCTCAGAAAGGAGGCAGAAAAGACTAAGAACCACTGGGAATTGGCTGATCGGGAAAGGTCCCTTCAGCATTGATGTCTGGGGTTCTCAGCATCCCTGGCTGCACCCTGATAAACTGAAGTGGTGTGACAATGTACTGCTCCCAAAAGAAAAGTGCAGACCCATCCTTGGCCTGGAGAGATCATAAACCTGCATCAGGACCTCCCTTGAACTCAGAAAATCAAAGACAGTAAAATAAGCAAGACTTCAAAGAACCTAATGGACTAAGTTCTTAAATTCTCATAAATTCTCCTAAGTTCTCCCCTGGTCCTTGTTTAGCTCAGGTTGGTAAGCATGAAATGAGCACCCTCTTAGATCATGGGGATACAGATTATCGAAGAATCATGGCTATCCTTGAATCCATAATCTACCAGGGGAAACAGACCTACAGGGAAGAATATAGGATGATGTGACAGGGTCAGTTGTGGGACAGACACTCCAAGTGCCAGGGAAAGCACCTCATCCAGGCTGGGGAGCCAGGGAGGGCTTCCTGGAGGAGGTGACACTGGGATTGAGGCTAAAAATTGTATCATTGTAATCAGTATGCACTTATTGTCCTGCATCTTTTTTTCCCCTCTCAATTGTATTTCACATGTGCATCTCCGTGCCCCAATGTAACCTAAGATATTTATGGTCAGTGGCTGACACTTCATCAAGGCGCCAGAGCTGACTTGAGCAGCCCCCAGTTATTGAATGCAGGCCCACTTCTGATCTTCAGCTCTGTGAATAGGGACTGTGATCACCACCACCACCATCATAACTGAGTGGGCTCCTCCACCTTGCCTTTGGGGAAACTGCTTCCGAGGAGGAGTGACTGTCCAGGACCTGGGAGTGCAGGTGGGGGCAGCTCTGCATGTCTCTAGAAAAAGCCTTGAGGGCTCTGCCAGAAACTGCATCCACATACACCCCGACCAGGGGAGCCATCGATAGCAAGAACTCTGAGCCAGAAAACCCAGTAAATGCAGACAATCCCAACATGCCTGCCACGTGGCCCCTCTGATTGTCCCCAAGCTTGTATATGGCCTCCTCTCTCCCTACCTCTGCCCTCCCTAGCAGATGTGGCCCCTGTATGACCACAGGTGATACTGCTAGCTGGACACCCTAAGTACAGACTGGGGGTGCCAGGTGGACTGACTCAATGGCATGAAAAGTTCTTAAGGGTAGGGACTTGCCTGGCTGGGTTTGTTATTTAACTTTGAATTCCTCATGAGAGCCAAGCTGTACCAGGTAAGCAGTAAGCTCCTGGTCTTTGAGGCTTATACATTTGCACATTGAAAGGGGTCCGCATAGAGGTCACAGGAACGAATCTCTGAGAACAAAATGTCATGCAGCAGGCAGGTATTTTTGAGACATGTAGGGTACTTCCTATTGCCTCTGAAATCACGCTCCATGGGCACCTACCCATTCCTCCTGTGTGGTAAGCCAACCTTGTACATGCCAGGGTTCTTGGGCCAAGGAATGGTTACTGTACCAGCTCAGCCTCAGTCAGCCCCAGCCTGCAAATCAAGGCAGCCTGCACACCAGGCCCCCCACATCCTCACCCCAGGGCTCACAGAGGCAAAGGGCGCTAGAAGGATAAATACAAAATTAAATGTTATGAGGAAGGGGAATGGGGAGAAAGGATGGGGATAGAAATGACATTTCTAAAGGATACCTTTATCAAAAGTTTTGAGCCATATACTGTTTTGTATTTGAAAATTGAAATTAATTTGGGAAAAGAACATGGTTTGGGAAGGGCTACTAGGAAGGAAGAGGGGGAGGAAGGGAGGGAGAATAATTGGAAGACAAGGTGAGGGTTGTTTGGAAGAGGCCGGAAGGGGTTCCTGGAGTATGTTTGGTTCTGTGCAAAATGGGATTTTGGAGAGCAGTGAAGGACTGCATAGAAATCAGCTACAGTAATGGAAGCTTACTGTACCAGAGCCGACGGTTATAGTGTTCAGTAGTTCTGGTCTCAATATTTAGTAGTTTTGGACAGGAGACCCAGAATATCTGCACAGCTTGTTCAAGATCCCACATTGGTGTGTGGCATGATTGAGAACTGACAACTCTCTGGCCAAATCTGACGTAGGTCTTCAGTGGAAGGTGGCGTACAAAAGAACCTTGGCTTCAACCACACATTCACTTGCCCTGGCGAGAGAGCCAGGGAGAGGACTATAGCAAACAGCCAGTTGCCACCAAGGTCCTTAGGATGGGCTAGGAAGCAGAACATCCAGGACAAGCCTGAGCCAGGTCTGCAGAGTTGCCCCCTTTTAGTGGTCCCTCCTCTGTGTGATCTCCCAGCACTGTCTACTGACACCTGCCTCTTCTTCCAGCTCTGAAGACCAAAGGGACTGCAGGCTGCAGGTTTTGTCACTTCCCTTAGGAGAACAGACTTCAGGCTCTGCAGATGGTAGGAAGCCCCAATTATGCCTGCCACGTGTACATCCGTGTATCTTGCAAGGCACGTGCATCAGCATCAAAACACATAAACACACAAACCCGCAGGTGCCTGTGTGTGCCAACACAGAGTTTATCCTTTGCGCTGAGCTGCCTGCAGTGCCAGGGTCTCAAGTCCCAGCCCTAGCTGGTTTCCATGGCGGGCCCTGCTCTCCAGTGTGCCACGGCTCCTCTATTGAGTGTGCCTGATTGTGCGCTGCACGCACGCTGTGGGCATGGAGCCAGCTCACTGTTCTCACCTGGCAGGCCCTGGTCATGGCTCCCAGCCTGGGGGAGAACTTCCCTTTGCAAAGTTAGATAACAGCACGGGCTCTCTGTCAGAGGATTGGCGCAGTGGCTCCACGTGTCGCAGCTGGCACAGGGCCAGGCCTGCCCTGCCAGGCAGTGGGAAGGGAAGGCCTGGCTGCAGCCGGAGCTGGCAGGTGGCCAAGCTGGGGGGTGGATGGGCGGGCCAGGGTCTGTGCTGCTTATTGGTTGCCTCCAGCTTCCGCCCCGCCCGACTCCAGAGCCTGTGGCTCCAAGGCCAGCTCCTGCCTCTCCAGCTGCTTCTAAACTCCCAGAGCAAGCTCCTCCTGCCGGGCCATGTCGAGCTGCGACCGGATCGGAGTAGCCCCTGCCATGGACATGCCTGAGGTCCTCAAGTCCCTGCTGGAGCACTCTCTACCTTGGCCAGAGAAGAGGACAGGTAGGAATGGAGGTGGCCTGCATTGGCTGGCCGCCCAAGTGCCCAAGGGGTTCTAGGCAGCCACAGGCAGGATGCAGGACAGGCATCTCCAACCTAGGGAGGGTCCCTAGCAGGGGTCTGTCCTTGGTCCCTCCCTGGGCAGGAGGAAGGGCTGGGGTGCAGAAAGACATGGTGGGGAGTGCCACTGCAACTCAGGAACTGCACCTAGGCCTGCTAGCTGGGGGAAGCCGTGGCCAGCGTGTGGCCACTGACAGGTGCTGTGCTCATATAGGACAAGAACAGGACCAGAGGGCCCTGCTAAGAGAATGTACTGAATGCAATTGCTGAAGTTCCCTCCCTCTGCACATTGGGTGGCAGAGGACTGGCAGAAACTGTAGATTTGGGCAACCTCTGGTCTGGGGAAGAGGCTTTCCTCCGTGTGCCTGCTTCAGCTCCTGCTCACTGGAGGGCTGAACCCATGGATGGGAGGAAGCTGTTATGTAACAGGACCACAGGCTCGAAGCCCGGGTGCCTAGGATACCACAGGCAAACACAGGGTGAGGGAGCCAGCAGAGGGCGTGGATGGAGGGGCAGAGCCAGCAGCCAGCACCAGGTGTCTCCCACGGCTAGCTTTGGGGACCACCTGCTCAGGGTAATCCCCCGTGATAAATATTTCTCCCAATCTCTTCTGTTCTAAGATGTTAGGGGCTCACACCCAGGTCCTCACTGCTCAAACTCCCCAGGTGTCTTTAAAGAAGCACAACTGTCTTCTGTTGCCTGTCTGACTTAGGAGTACTGGGGTCCCCTCAGGGGACCTTTCTCAGGTCTTTCCCTTATCCTGCTGTGCTGGCGACTGATATTATTTCATCACCAGGTGGCCC